TCAAGGTGATGTTTGTTTCAGGAGGAGTCGTCCTGTGTGGGAGCTCTACCTCCATCTCTCTGCACCATTAGCTTAAGCTACATAAGCTACAGCTAACAGATCAGAGATTGAGCTGTGTGGATTTTTATCTGTCACCACCCAGCTCTCGTCAACAAATCGGCTCAGGTGTGCAACAGAAACTTTGGCTCTACCTCGCTTGCGCTTCATAAAGTGATCAACATTTTGGCTGGTTTTTATTTTTGTTACTAGTAATCTATCTTCTGCACGTGCGTTTCTAGAGTTTAGTTTGTTATTTGTGTCGCAGCAGGGTACCATTTAGACTGATAAGCTGCTTTAAAGGGAAGCAAAAGTGAAATAAAGCACCTTTATTTTCACTCAAGCCCACTCAAACCCTCTAATCTCACCTGTGTCCAAATCAGCTCAGCCTCAAGTTGGTATTTTATATCAAGCTGTGCACATTTCCTTGACCCAGCCAAGTGTTTATTCTTGAACACACACACTCACAGCTGTGTGGGCCGCGTAAGATCCTATTTTATATGTATTGTAACCATCTCATGGGTGCACATTACAATCCCACTAACAGTACAAGTCCCTGACTGCATGGGGACAAGCAGCAGCATCACAGCTGCCCTTTCACTCAGCGGCTGCAGCTTTCAGATCCATCTCATGCAGCCGAGGACTGAAAACAGGTGACGTGTAGAGTCTGTCGCTGTGCATTTTACTCCAAACCTTAAGAGCTCACTTCACGAGACAGTTAGCCTACTTTGAAAGCTGAGAAAAGTTCTTTTCTACTTCTCAGTAAACGAGTTTGGTGCTGATGAGGTAAAACAGACGGTTTATTTAAGACAATGTTAGAGCCCTGATGACCCACGGCCCAGTTCCACATGCAGGAAGCTCAAGCCAACTTTGTGCGGATCAGAGAAGAAACATGTCGTCTCACTGATGCGCCTTCAGACCTCACACAAACTGGTCCCAAATAATAACCAACCTGGGCTAAGAAAATATGTTGGTTGTGTGGCCTGATCTTTAATCAGAACTACAGTGTCTGAGTATTATCCTATATTTTTGGAGCTTTTTACCATGTGATCTCCTCATGGAAAATCCCCTTTTGGATGCATTCATGCATTTTCCTGTCTCAGCTACAAATTTTCAGATTTTTAGGAAAAACCTGCAAAAGCCTCAATGGAAACTAAATGTGTGATTTTAGACTGGTTGCGGATAATTTCATGCTGCAGTTGAGAGTGTGTCCTTCCTGTCACATTTGACTGCTTTAAACCTCCACTGATATGAATATTCTGAAAAATTACTTCTGCAATGGGGACAAAACACTGCCATGAAAACCATGCGTCCTGTCCACAAATATGCATGTAATGTCCGGCACAGGATGTGTAATATACCGAGTATTCTGAGGATGACTTGGTAGTCCAGTGGATAGAGGAACTGACTAGCATGTTGTTTTACACTGGTTCAACTTCCGGTCCCAGCAGTAACTTATTTTCTTATTTTTTACCTACAATTATAAATGTATTACAAGAATGAAATCTGCTTCAGCTGGCTAAATAATTTACTACCGACACCGGGAGTCAAACCGGCATCAGGACATGGCAAAATAAGATCAAAGGCAGGTGGTTTAACCACTGGGGCACCAATCCCAATACAACTGGTGGTTTTGTTGGAGCGGAGGTGGGCGGAGCTTTACTGAAACAGATTGTTTAATTTCCAGGTATAAATTCAGGCTGACAAAGTAACTTTTAAAGTAGCATGATCTGGCTCCTAATTTTAAGGCCAAGTTCACCCGTATTTTCAACACATCTGCAGTGGTCTCTAGTATAAATGAATGCTTTGTGAGTTGGTCTCTGTGGGGAAAAAAAAAGCTCTGGCGCTCTTGTTTAAGGAACTAGAAGTGAGCCAGAGGAGAGGTGAGCAGAAAACGGCGGGATTTGAACTCTTGTGTCCTGATATGCGGACATCTCACCTCTGATTGGTTGACAGCAACATGACCCCACCACTGACTCTGTTTGCTTTACTTTGGCCTGTCACCTTCAGGACCACCTCAGATCCCATCCTCTTATATTGCCTCCAGGTAACAGATATTTATGTGTGATATCCAATTTTGTTTGTGTGAATGTCTCCAAAGTTAAAAAAAAAAGAAATACAGAAAGGGTCTAAAAACCTGTGAGAAAACAACAAACCACCCACACACTGACCAGACATTTTACATATTTGTGGTTTGCACAAATATGTAAAATGGACATATTTTCCCAGCATCTGGGTTATGTGTTCAAGTCTTTTTGCAACAAGCTCATTAAGCACACTGGTCCAACAGTCTATTAATGTGTGTTTTCATGTTTTGCTCTTGTCTTTATAAAAGCCCGATTCTGTGTTTGCACTGATATCATTTGTGACTGGTCTACATTGATTTGTCTGCTGAGGTGATAAAACAGTTCCCATTCCACTAACACAAGAAGTGTGTTTTTTTTTATTTCTGTTGGTCTCACCACAAAGAGCCTGCAGTCACTTTATTACAGCATCTGTTAACAGACTGTTCCTTCTGCTCTAGTGTTTCTTAGGTTGTGCTCCAGATTATGAATCGTTTCTGATAATGACACTGTCTATCCAGTTTGATCTTATGGTAATAAGCTGGGAGTCTTCATCCTAGTTTACATGCAACCTCTTTCAGTAAGGTTTGTTCCACTCCGGTACAGTAGGTGGTGACATGCACCCTTTGGTGTCAGCATTTGTCCGGTTACCTTATAGCAACACAAATAGTAAACAGATGCTGGAGTGAAGCAGATGGATATGCACAATGGCTGAAGGATTGGACAACAACAATGCTGCAGAACAGCTTATTTGGAATGTACCAATATCCTGGTTCTGGTTTTTAGAGCCTTACATTGACGATCTTCTCAGTCCCTACACCCCCAGCAGGTCCCTGAGGTCCAGTGATCAAAGCCTTCTGGTTGTGCAGCGCACCAGACTAAATACCAAAGGTGACAGATCATTTGCTGCCGTGGCCCCCAGACTCTGGGACTCTCTCCCCCCTGAGCCTAAGATCAGTGGACTCAGTGGTCTCCTTCAAAAAGAAGCTGAAAGCTCATCTGTTCAAGCTGGATTTTGCGTGACCTTCATCACCACCCTCTCCTTATTTAGCTCTTACCTATTACGCCTTTCCTGGGATTCACTGATTTACCTCTTTCCTGTTTATTTTCTCTCTCCCTTTCCTTACGTTTTTAATCACAATTTTTAAACATATTTTTCATCAATTTTTAAAAGTCTTATTTAAATTAGAAATGTTTTGTTTTTGTAAAGTGCATCTTGATTTTTATCCTGAGAGGCGCTATATAAAAGATATTTTCTTTTACTGTTTGGTGGTGTTAAGTGTCTTACTTTGTGGCGATGATAACATCAGAAAATCACGTACACGATCAGGAATGCAAGCGCCCAACTTGTTCAATCCGGCTGACCCGTTTACATGCAGAATATATTCAGATTACTACCGCAATATATGGGTGCTTCAGCTTCACCTTCAGCCAGACTAAAGCGTTAACACACATTAAAACAACCCATGTGAGACTTTTTAGGGCACTACTTTGTTGTTCTGATGTGTATGTGAACACACTACATCTAGATCAAGGAGGTAGGAGGGAGCAGGAGAAGGCGCTGTCCGTGGTGCTGATCACCAGCCTCCAAGACAGATGGGCAGCAGCCATAACAGATATAGAGGCTTTACGTGGATCTAAATCCTAGGAGCGTTTACTAAGAACCAAAGGATCTTTTAGGGTTGAATTACTGTAGATTAATTCCTGGGCTTTTTAACAAGTTTTTTGGAGGTGGGGTTTGATCAACTCTGAGACTAGTTTCAGTTAACAGTAAGTGTTGTTATCATAAATTGCATTCTCAGAAAATGTTTTGTCTCCCACCCATTTCTTCTTGTTGTACGTTGACGTTCTACCTGGAACCCTGTTAAGATTCAGCCAAGCAAAATAGGATTTTTGACCATTTTCAAGTGGTCTTAAACTTTTGATCAGACCAGCACCTTCCATAACATTTTGGTATAGGACATATGCTCCATTGCTGACCAGTAGCTGCTGCTATGGGTTTTTAGATGAATGATTCAATCTATCTAGGCCAGAACTATTCACCCGCATTCCTTCAGGCAGCAGTTTAAGAAGCATCAAAGCACGGACAACAAATGTAAAGAACTTCTTTCCTGGCTCACATGGGAGGATTTTAAAATTGTTGTCAGATTCTCAAAGCACACGGGGCCGTACATGCGGTGATAATGTCACAGATATACCAGTTTTGGTCCTGCTGATTGCGGCGTGCAGACAACACTACACACTACAAATAAGCCACATTCTTTCACGGACATTTTCCGCTCAAATGTAAAATCTCGCAAGACCAAACATGACTTTGAAGTAAACAAAAATGGTGGAAAAGGAGCATGCTAGTCGCTTCTGTCATCTCACTTTCTGATTAACTAGATGTGATTTTTTTTTCAGCAAATGTACAACCAAGACAATCCAAGTGTCCCAGCCCAGACTTATGATCAAAGTTGTCTCTACATCCTTTCGAATGGACTGGAGCGGTCTTAACACACCATACACTGTAGGATCATCTGATAAGATTATCTTTGGAGCTGTTTTGGTTATCATGCAGGACTTTAAGATTGCCTCGAGAGGTAGGGCTGGTCAAAAATCGGACAGATTATTCCACCGTGCGATCTGGGCATAAGGCTACCAGGCTGGTGAACTTTGACCTTCTGAATTAAAAGAATGCTCCCATTGTTCTCATTTTGGTTTTATCTTCACTTGGTTGAAATGTGCCTAACCGGTTGTAGCATCAGCGTGGATTAGAGTTTTGCCAGGATTGATTAACAGTTGCTGTTCATCCCATTCTGGTTTCTCTTCCGCTTTATTTACAGTGTAGCAGGAACCTTACATCACAGCAGTCTAAAAACTCTTAACCTGAGCATAACTTGTAAGATATTCATGACTCACATTTTGACAAAGGGGTCAGAGTATCCGTTGGAGTCCATGGCGGCCAGATGGGCACAGCGTATGATCCCAACCAGCAGGCATCCTTTCTCCATGTTGTAGCACAGCGACACCAAGATGCGACCACGCTGAGGGCAAAACAAAAAGACATAGCCAGTTTTTAACTCATAGCGTGCATGTTGAGAACTCAAATGAAAGTTTGTCATCATGGGTTTTCTCTGAGCAAAGCAAATGGGACTTACTCTCCTCTCTGTTTAATCTAAAGGGCAAAACAGAAACCGGATCTAATCAGAGACCAGAGGCTATTAGCTTCTGTCTCCAAAATCATAAAGAGAAAGGAGATTAAAATGTTTAAAGAACATCAGAGAGAGTGGAAAGGCAGTACTGGTATCATTAACAAGTTGCTGATATGATGAGTCCATCTCGAGAGTTTTGCTGTTAAAGTTCATTCCTCTGACTGAGATTAAAAATGTTTAATTAATCTTTTTAATGTTCTCAGATCATGAAAATACACATGAAATCAAAAGTGCTGGAAAATGTTACTAATGTACATGTGGTACTGATCAGAAACGACACCTATTTTTATTGTAATAACACATTAAATGATGTTTTACTATAAAGATCTAACAACAGTTTATAAATGAAGCTGACGATTGTGTTACCTCCTCTTCTACCACAAGTGCTCCTTGCTCCACCAGCTGATTGTTGGCTTCTTTATTCTGCATAGATACAGACGCAGTCAATCATTGCTAAAATATATGACAAATTAAAATAATAATAATAATAATGTGAGTGACTTACCTGTGCGATCCTCTCCAGGCCCATATTGTAACGTTTGCTCTCTCCCTCTTTCAGTTTCTTCAGAGCCACTCTCACTTCTCCGATAAATTCGTTTCGTCCGAGTCTGTCCATGTCACACACACACAACCTTCATAAACGCAGACACACACAGATGAAGGAGAGAAGCGGGTGAATTAGTAAAGTTTAAGCCGGCCAGTGCTTTGGTCCGCTCCTTATTCTCTAACATTTATGGTGCAAAATACTTCCAGAGTGCCTCTTTGAGCAGGCGAGCACTCTGATTTCTACTCAGCCGCTCCGAGGATCAGAAGCTGTGTGATTGCTGAAGAGCAGAAGTGATTCAGACAGTTTCAATCATTTCCCCATTGGCTTTTACTCCACCTCACTCTAATTTACTATAATTGAAAGATGGCAAGATGGCAGAGAAACTGTTTAAATCAGACTTTGTTTTTTGCATTCCCAGGAGCTGAAGGACAAATTGATTTCACAATAAAACTTTTCAAATAGAACAAAACCATCAGTATTAGTGTAATTGGTTTTACAGGTGGCAGGTGTTCGGAAGAAGAACATGGCAGAAGCAGCGAGACCCAAAAAAGTAAAAACTTCTCAAGTTTGGGAGCATTTTCTGTTAAATCAGGCGAAGACATTCGGGGGGGAATCGCGCTGCTGCGAACCGGTTCCGCCGTCACATTCCCGCAGAAACTGGTTGATCACACCGGGGCCAGACCACTAGCATGTGGCTTTACAACCACAATGTCCTCGGAAGCGAAAACGCTTTTAAAAGGGAGGGAGGAGTCCTAACTGTTGTGTTGTGTGAGAGTGCAGTTATTTACTGGTTAATATATTTTGGGGTTCAGTTGCTTTCATGTGGCCTAATGTGAGTCTATTTGGGATCATTGGAATGATCAGCAGCATTTCTTGATGTGACTTTATGGCAGTTGCCCAGGGCATCATCACAAGGAGGATGGCATTCATTTACTTTTGTTTTATTTGGTATTGTTTCAGTCATTTTTGGAAATAGTGATTAATTTTGATTAATTCACAGCCTATGTTTAATTACATTTAAAAATTAGTTGTTTGACATCCCCAGTTATAATAAATGTCTACAGATGAGATCAAACAAAACAGATAAGAATTGCCCTTAAGCTGTTCAACTTGGACCAAGCATTTTAGGTCACAGATAGGTGTAGCTTAGGGTCTCCGTCTATACACCTTATAAGACAATTTAGGTAATGGCATGTGTAACCCACATCAGAATTGTGGTTTGTGCTGCGGCATAAGGTTGGAGGTGTAATTTCCCTCTCCGCCACTAGGAGGCGAGTATGCCTTGAGATGACTTCCTGTTAGTCAGCATTTCCTGTTGTGAAAGCCGTTACTCACGAGGCAACCGCCAGATTAACTGAAAGATCCTGGTAAGAAAAGTTAAAATAAAAGTTAAATTTGCAATTTATCTTCACCAACTAGCTATTAACAGATGGCTATTTGTTAGGATCTGAATTCTGTGAAATACGGCCGTGGGAAGCTGCGTCAGCCAGGCGAGCTATCTCACCACGAGCTCCGGTAAGGGATGCTACATGAATGTTAGCACCATAAAGACATGTAGTTGACTGCTGTTAATATATTTCCTGTTTAAAAACCAGTCGGAGTTGTGATACTTATGTTTAAAGTACTGTAACATCACTGATGTGCAGATGTTTATTTTTAAGTGTTAAAGAATATATTAAAATGTGCCCAGCTAACCGCTAGTATTAAGCTACTGCTTAGCAATTTCTGTGTGTTCTACTATTACTGTGATTCATTTGAGTTTGTTAGCTTTCCAAAACGTTAAAGGAACAGTAATATTGTCATGTAGTGCTTAAAGGCACCCTTTTAGTTGTTGATTTAAAAGTTAATTCATTTGATAAAGATGCAAAAAGTTTATAAAATGGGATTATAAAATGTGAAGGATCTCATTACTCTGTTGGATGTATTAGTGTTTAAAGAAGTTGATATATTTTTCTGAGAAATAATTCAGTTGAAATATCTGAAAAGGAAGAACAGTTAAAAGCAAGCTGGAAAAAAAAGATAAATGTGGGAGAGTGAATCTTACAAATTTATTTATTCTTAAAAGGGTAAATATAAGGTATATTTTCTGTTGTGCTAAAACCTTGTGTGATGCAACTCAAGTTATTTCATGATGCTTGAGACATTGTGTAACTAAAGATGAGTGATGGAAGGAGCATAGATAAAATAGTAATGTATGCACTCTGCCCTGTGTGCATAGATTGGTTTTTTGACCAGGACCGGATCATTTGAGATCTGAACCTTGTGGGTTCAGTGGCGAGCCAGTTCCAAGAGAGTGACTGTAGACGGACCAGAGTACGGTGTGGCCAGCCGTGGGATCCATCTTCAGCGAACCCCAGGACCATCATTACATCCCTTGACACAGATAAGACTGACACTTTTAAAAAATCTACCCGGGTAGTGTTAGATCCACTGGACAGAAACGCATACACACAAACTAATTTCTCTTTCCAAAGAGAAGTGGACTGAGCAACAGGAGTGGAAGCTCTTTAATTGAAACTCTTTGGAGAATTTCCTCAAAGAGGGTTTTGGTTTTATTTTGAGTCCTTTAATGTGCGTTTGTGCACTGTAGGAAGCCGGCTTAGACAGGCAGGGTTTGTAAACTTTACACCTTTTCAATACAGTTTCTATTTAAATCATATATTATCTGTCATTGTGTGGTTCCTTCTCTGCTGATCCTTTCAAGGCTCCATAATCTTACCTAGAACTTTTGATACTGGTCCAGAGTTGTCAAGACAATAGTTCAATACCTATTTCATAATATTTAATTGTAAAACCCGTTACAAAAGTGGCGAGCCAGCCAGGAGCCTAGTTAAGTGCCAGCAGTGAAACACATCTCATGTTTGGGAAATTGTATGAGAAAAAAGGTGTTTATATGCTTTAGCGTTATTGCCAAAGATGGAGTTCATAGCTAACTCAGGTATCAAAGTCCCAAATGCAGTGATTGTGAGTGGGTTGCTTGGATCGCCAGAAGATGAGGAGATCATAGACTTTCTGAAGAAATATGGTTCTGCTAGGCTCGTTTCAGTAACTGATGCTGAATCAGAGTTTTATAAAAACCTGATTATTGAGTATCAAGATGGTGCCGCCATTGAAGCCTTATCTTCTCTTTTGCCTTACACACATGAACTCAAAGAGAACCCAAGTGTCAGGTATCTCGTTCAAGCTTTGGCTAGCATTTACACTACAAAGGTTGGCTGCAATGTTACCAAAACCTACCTCAATGAGATAAAGAAATTGGCAAAATTAAGTGGGAAAGAGTACGAAGAAGTGTTGAGAGACATGATGTCAGAGATCAGTGAGGCAATTGGAACAGGCAGCGCTGATGAGGTATCTGTAGCCAAACCGTTCAACACATCTCTTGAAACAGTCGAAACCTCAGATCACCAGATGTTCAGAAGTCCCTCCTTGATGGATTTCGGTCAAGATTGCCCCGAACCAAAGCCACCCACCATCCTGAGGCAAAATCTACCCATCAGGGAGAGTGACCTACATCCACCTGAAGTTCAAAAGGTCATCGTTGAACACATTGTAAGGAAAAGTGACTGTAACATATATCCACATTTTCCCATCAAGCTTCACCCATTTTCAGGCAAAACCCCAAGGCCCAGTAATGAGACCGACTACGACACATGGCGATCACATGCTGAGCTTCTCAGAAAAGATTCCACTCTGTCTAATCTTCAGAAGTCTCGGAAGATGGTTGAGAGCTTGCTCTCCCCTGCAGCAGATATTGTCAAAAGGCTAAGTCCTGAAGCTACCCCTGAAACTTACCTTCAACTGCTGGATGCAGCCTTTGGAACTGTTGAAGATGGCGAAGAACTTTTCGCCCAGTTTATGAATACTCTTCAGGATCCTGGTGAAAAGGCTTCATCCTACCTCTGCCGCCTACAGGCTGTTCTAAACCTTGCTGTTAAGAGGGGAGGAATTGCTGCTGAAGAAGCAGACAAATATATTCTCAAGCAATTCTGCCGCGGTTGTTTGGACAACATCTTGCTCTCTGACCTCAATCTAGAAGATAAGAAAAGTCACCCTCCAGCATTTGCAGAGGTCCTGTTACAGATCCGTACTGAGGAGGATAGACATGCAGCCAAAGTCACGCGCATGAAGAAGCACCTCGGCTCAAATCGACAGCGGGCCGTTACTAGCTCGCAAAGCACATGTGCCTGCAGCCAGCAAGTAGTGATCCCACCCGAGTCCAACACATTGGAGGAACTCAGACAGCAAGTCGCATCTCTTCAGAGCCAGCTTACTGCACTGATGTCAAAGAAACCCCAAAAGACCTCGAAACCCAAGGGGAGCGCTGAGCACGCATCCAGCCGACCAATCTCACCTAAACTTGACCCTAGAGCACCAAGCTGGAAGCCATCCAACCCAAAACAGAACGCAAGGCCAAAGGCCTGGTATTGTTTCAAGTGTGGTCAGGATGGCCATATTTCTTCAACATGCACTAACGAACTAAACCCCACTCTTGTTGATGAAAAAAGAAGTCAGCTAAGAGAAAAGCAGCGTCTGTGGGATGCGACAAACCATCTAACTCCCAATGAAAATTTTTAGATGAAGCCTCAGTTGTAGGGCAAACTGAGGCTGAAGCAGCTCACCAGTGCCCTGTTAATAGAGATGCTACACCCAAATTAAGTGCTGCTTTGAACCAGTGTAATGTCAGGAAACACCTTTCGAAGGTTTCCCCAAAACTGGTAGGTACAAAGAGTACATGCCAAGTAATGATCCAAGATAAACAGTTTAACTGTCTGATGGACACAGGTTCACAAGTGACTACGGTTACCAAGTCCTTCTTTGATCAACATCTGTTTGAAACACAGATAGAGCCACTGTATGATCTATTGGAAGTTGAAGGTGCCAATGGGTTACCCGTACCTTATTTGGGCTACATTAAAATCACCATCACCTTCCCAGAACAATTCCTGGGCAAGGAGTGTGATGTCCCAACCTTGGCCTTAGTGGTGCCAGACAGTGGAACATCTGGCTTTCATGTCCTGATTGGTACTAACACCCTTGATGTGGCATATAACATGCATAAAGAGGAAGGTCCAGCGATCCATCACCCCTCATCAGATGGCTATAAGACTGTGCTGAAAGTATTACAGCTGCGACATGAACAATGTCACAACAGTAACATTGGAGTGGTGAGGATGCATGGGAAAGAAACAAAGGTTGTTCCGGCTGGAGCAACTGTTGTTTTAGAAGGAACTGTAGCAGTCAAGGGGTTCCAGTCGGAGAAGTGTGCCATTGTGGAGTACCCTACATCATCTCTACCTGGAGGACTGCTGGTAAAGACCTGCCTCCTCAACATACCAACCAGATCCCCATGCAGGCTACCAGTTGTGATATCTAATGCGTCTGAGCACGACATCACTATTCCGGCCAAGAGCGTGATTGCTGCGCTCAATGCAATCCAAGCTATTCTACCACACAAGCAGAGTGCGACGGAGGGTCAGGAGCCAACTAAGCTACCTGGATCCAAGTCCCCTGATCAACCTAAGCTGGTCTCTGACTTTGGGGAATCTCAAATCTCTCCAGAGTGGAGAGACAGAATTGTGAAAAAGCTGAATGGCATGCCTGAAGTCTTTGCCATGAATGATATTGACTTTGGGAGGACAGATAAAGTAAAGCATCACATCAAGCTGTCTGACCAAACACCATTCAAGCACAGGGCCCGGCCAATCCACCCAAACGATGTGGGAGCCGTCAGAAAACATCTTCAAGAGCTTCTTGATGCTGGAGTGATTCGTGAGAGCGAGTCTCCATTTTCATCCCCCATTGTTGTGGTCAGGAAGAAAAATGGTCAAGTTCGTCTCTGTATTGATTACAGGAAGTTGAACCTGCAGACAGTAAAGGACGCGTACGCACTCCCAAGGATGGACGACACTTTCGCAGCACTCTCTGGTTCCAAGTGGTTCAGTGTTCTCGACCTCAAGTCTGGTTATTACCAGATTGAGGTTGATGAAGCTGATAAGCCCAAGACTGCCTTTGTCTGCCCGCTTGGCTTCTGGGAGTTTAATCGCATGCCTCAAGGAGTGACGAATGCCCCAAGCACCTTCCAGAGGCTGATGGAGAAGTGCATGGGTGACATGAACCTGAAGGAAGTTGTAGTTTTTCTGGATGACCTGATAGTCTTCTCGCGGACTTTAGAAGAACACGAAGTCAGACTCGTCAAGGTCCTTAACCGATTGAAGGAGTACGGTCTGAAGCTGTCTCCGGAAAAATGCAAGTTCTTCCAGTCTTCGGTTCGCTATCTGGGGCATGTGGTGTCGGAGCAGGGAGTGGAAACAGACCCGGAGAAGATAGCAGCGTTAAAGACCTGGCCAGTTCCTCAACGCCTAAAAGAGCTGAGAGCCTTCCTGGGATTCTGCGGGTACTATAGGAAGTTCATCAAAGGCTATTCAAACATAGTAAAGCCTCTGAATGATCTGACATCAGGGTACCCACCTGTACAGAAGCATTCCAAGTCGAAAGACAAGAGTGACCAGTACTACCACCCAAAAGAACCATTTCTGGACCGTTGGACACCTGCCTGCCAGCAGGCCTTTGAAATGATTATAGACAAATTAACAACATCCCCAGTTCTAGCCTTTGCGGATCCCACGTTGCCCTACATCCTACACACGGATGCAAGCTCCACCGGCCTCGGAGCGGCCCTGTATCAGGAGCAGGAGGGGCAGCTGCGTGTTGTTGCCTACGCTAGCAGAGGGCTATCACGTAGTGAATCCCGCTACCCAGCTCACAAGCTCGAGTTCCTGGCATTGAAGTGGTCTGTGACAGAGAAGTTCAGCGACTATCTGTATGGCAACCAGTTTACGGTGGTCACTGACAGCAATCCCCTCACTTACGTACTTACTTCTGCCAAGCTCGATGCAACCAGCTATAGGTGGCTGGCTGCACTCTCCACCTTCTCTTTTAAGCTCCAGTACCGCCCTGGGAAACGAAATGGAGACGCTGACGCGTTGTCACGACGGCCTCACGGCAATCTGCATGACGACCTACCATCTCAGAAAGAGTGGGACAGGATACGTTGTTTCACTCAACATCACCTATCTGACCCAGGAGACATTGAAGTGGTTAAACCAGAAGTCGTTCAAGCCATTTGTGAGAGACAACTTATCTATTGCGCTGACAATGCAATGGTCTGTGATGGTGGTATCTCTCTGGTTGAAAGCCTGGCCATTTCTGCAGATGCAGTGCCTGACAGCTTTGGGCATGAGGATGGGCTTGGAGGACTACCCATCATTCCAAACCTTTCAGAAGAGGACCTCAGAGACAAGCAACGAGCTGATCAGTGCATTAAGCATGTCATTTCCCAGATTGAGCAAGGAGTGAAACCACCACCTAGTCTAAGAACCGAGCTTCCAGATCTGCCTCTCTTGTTGAGAGAGTTGAACAAGTTTGAGCTCCGAAATGGCATCCTCTATAGAACACGCCTAGAAGAGGGACACACACAACATCAGTTAGTCTTGCCTGCAGAACTTCGAGACGTGGTTCTAAGAAGCCTACACGATGACATGGGTCACACGGGAAAGGAACGCACCGTGGATCTGGTCAGAGCCAGATTCTACTGGCCAAGAATGGCTTCGGACATTGAGAAGAAAATAAGAACGTGTACCCGGTGTGTGTGCAGGAAAGCTCTACCTGAGAGAGCTGCACCTCTGGTGAATATAATGACTACACGACCACTCGAATTGGTATGCATGGACTTTTTGTCTGTTGAACCAGACAGAAGCAACACAAAGGACATTCTCGTGATCACTGATCACTTCACCAAGTATGCTGTAGCGGGGCCGACACAAAATCAAAAGGCTCGAACAGTTGCAAAGTGGTTGTGGGACAATTTCATCGTCCATTATGGATTCCCAGAGAAGCTGCACAGTGACCAAGGTCCTGACTTTGAGTCGCGGTTGATCAAGGAACTCTGTCAGATTGCGGGCATCCGTAAAACGCGAACAACACCATACCACCCGAGAGGCAACCCGGTGGAACGCTTCAACCGCACTCTATTAGACATGCTTGGCACTCTGGGAAGTCAAGAAAAATCTCACTGGAAGGACTTTGTAAAGCCGTTGGTGCACGCGTACAACTGTACCAGGAGTGAGGTGACTGGGTTCACACCATATGAACTAATGTTTGGACGCCAGCCAAGGTTGCCTGTTGACCTCGCATTTGGGTTACCAGTGAAAGAACAGCGACACAAGTCACATTCCCAATACGTACAGGACCTTAAATCTCGTCTTGAGCAGAGCTACGAAGTTGCCACAAGGACTGCTGCCAAGGTAGCTGAGAAAAATAAGATTCGGTTTGATAAGCGAGTAAGTCCTTCTGCTTTAGGCGTTGGCGACAGAGTACTTGTCAGAAATGTGCGTATTCGAGGAAAGCACAAGCTAGCTGATAAGTGGGAATCCACAGTCCATGTGGTAGTGAAGAAAGCTGGAGACCTTCCAGTCTATACAGTTAGACCAGAGAACAACGAGGGTCCCGAGCGCACGCTGCATCGCGACCTCCTACTCCCATGCGGATTTCTTGCTGCACCAACGGAGGAGTGTGCTCAGCCCAAACGAGCTAGAAAGCATAGGACACGTCAGAGTACTCCTAGCAGCACAACGAAGCTTGACCAGTCTTCAGATGAGGAGGACATTGTTCCCATTGCTTGGTTTGAAATACAACCACTCTCTGAGACGACTGGGGGTGCTGCAACACAAAATGCCCCAAGAGAACTAGGTTCCAGTCATGCCAAGCATAACTTGACACCAATCTCTGCCGAGTCAACGGACGATCTGGAAGGTGCCAATGTTATGCCTGAGGTCACATCAATTTACCACAGAACAGATCATTGTGGCAATGAGCAGACTCCAGACGATGGTGAGACCTCACCTCCTGCTGCAAACGTACCAGCACTTGAACTCCATGAGTCTGTGGGAGGAGCAAAGGTGGATGATAGTGCATCCACTGAATCTGAGGGACAAAGGACGCTGCTGGATTGCAGTTCAGGAGAGGAGGAGTTGCTTAACGAGGTCAAGGACTTAAGTGAGGACCAACCTAAAGAGATCCCTGTCCTCCCAGAAGCGTTGGAGGATGTGATGAATGATCCTAGAACTGAAGGACAGGAGGAGGATGGTGAAGTAGAGGAACAAGCTGACACTGATACCCATGTTAGGAGGTCTGAGCGGGATCGCCAACCACCGATGAGGCTCGACTACACTGAATTGGGGAAACCAATTGTCACCGTGGTAAAGTCCTTCTTCCAAGGGTTGACCGATGCGTGGAATGACATGGTAAATGAAGGTGAAGCACATGCTTCTACTCTTGCCTTTACCCCCAAGAGACATTTGTGTGAACCTTGTCATGCACAGGGACGTGCAAGAGTTCAGGAGGGGAGAGTGTAACCCACATCAGAATTGTGGTTTGTGCTGCGGCATAAGGTTGGAGGTGTAATTTCCCTCTCCGCCACTAGGAGGCGAGTATGCCTTGAGATGACTTCCTGTTAGTCAGCATTTCCTGTTGTGAAAGCCGTTACTCACGAGGCAACCGCCAGATTAACTGAAAGATCCTGGTAAGAAAAGTTAAAATAAAAGTTAAATTTGCAATTTATCTTCACCAACTAGCTATTAACAGATGGCTATTTGTTAGGATCTGAATTCTGTGAAATACGGCCGTGGGAAGCTGCGTCAGCCAGGCGAGCTATCTCACCACGAGCTCCGGTAAGGGATGCTACATGAATGTTAGCACCATAAAGACATGTAGTTGACTGCTGTTAATATATTTCCTGTTTAAAAACCAGTCGGAGTTGTGATACTTATGTTTAAAGTACTGTAACATCACTGATGTGCAGATGTTTATTTTTAAGTGTTAAAGAATATATTAAAATGTGCCCAGCTAACCGCTAGTTTTAAGCTACTGCTTAGCAATTTCTGTGTGTTCTACTATTACTGTGATTCATTTGAGTTTGTTAGCTTTCCAAAACGTTAAAGGAACAGTAATATTGTCATGTAGTGCTTAAAGGCACCCTTTTAGTTGTTGATTTAAAAGTTAATTCATTTGATAAAGATGCAAAAAGTTTATAAAATGGGATTATAAAATGTGAAGGATCTCATTACTCTGTTGGATGTATTAGTGTTTAAAGAAGTTGATATATTTTTCTGAGAAATAATTCAGTTGAAATATCTGAAAAGGAAGAACAGTTAAAAGCAAGCTGGAAAAAAAAGATAAATGTGGGAGAGTGAATCTTACAAATTTATTTATTCTTAAAAGGGTAAATATAAGGTATATTTTCTGTTGTGCTAAAACCTTGTGTGATGCAACTCAAGTTATTTCATGATGCTTGAGACATTGTGTAACTAAAGATGAGTGATGGAAGGAGCATAGATAAAATAGTAATGTATGCACTCTGCCCTGTGTGCATAGATTGGTTTTTTTGACCAGGACCGGATCATTTGAGATCTGAACCTTGTGGGTTCAGTGGCGAGCCAGTTCCAAGAGAGTGACTGTAGACGGA